TATGCCTGCAAAGTGTGTCTCCAGCGTCTCTCCAAGATTTCACTATAGGAGGGTCGCTTTCTGCTTCCTACCTCTAGCCGCCATCTTGGAATCACTGTCAATGAAGATTCTTAATGGTTGCTTTTAATTCAGCCAATTCAGATAGGCCACCAGGCAGGGGATATAGAAATTATTGTGGTGACTTCCTCCAAAACTTACCAAAAAAATGGATTTTATCTTTTTAGGTTTTACAGACATATTTTCAGAGTCAAAAGAGGGCCTCGGTGTTCATTCATCAATGATACTGCGTTTCCTGCATCGCAATCGGATCTCTAGCATGGTGATTCCCTACCCAATGTTGGATCACTTCAACAACGTGTGCACAATGCGATCTTCGGTTCTGAAGGATTCTCTGGATCAGCTGGTACAAAAAGAAAAGGGTATGTATATGAGAAGTTCTTGAAAATACTGTCATTTTGGCTTTTTTTCCTAAACCTAGTGTTTAGTAACAGGATGAGCCACTTCTCCTTGCCCTTATTACTGAACATATTTTAGTTATCACTTTATAGCATAAGAATATGATCTGTCCTTCCTTCCTTCCTTCTTTCCTTCCTTCTTCCTTCTTTCCTTCTTCTTTTCTTCATTCCTTCTTCCTTTCTTTCTTTCCTTCCTTCCTTTCTATCTGACACAACTATTTTCAGTTTCTCATCATTCAGTTCTCTGTCAGATGTGACTTCAGCAATGCCTTTTCTTGATACTCTCCCTAATTAATGCCTCCTCCCTCCATTCCCCCATTCCTTACCTTCTGGTGACTGTTCTTTTTGCAGGTTCACACTTACCATTATCTGAAGTTATAGCAATATTTATTTACTTGTATTTTATCTGTCTTGTTTGTTTCCTTATATTTAGCACATGGAACTGTGTCTGTCACACAGTAGGTACTCAAGGAGTATTTGTTGAATAAATGAGGGAATCTGCTATAGGTTGACTTAGTAATGATAATAGAAGTTGATGATGTGTATAGACAGGTCTATGGAATATAATGGAGTCTAAAAATGGGCCCAAGAACACATGGGAATATAGACTCAAAGTGAAGTCAGCCTCACAAAGCAGGATAGAAAAGTAAATTGTCAACAAGTGGGGTTAGGGTAGCTGGTTAGCCATTTGGAGAAAAAACAAAACTAGATTCTTACTCATTCACTAACATAAATTCCAGATGGTTCAGAAATTTGAACTAGAAAGAAAATGGTAAGTATACTAAAAGAAAACATTTCTACTTTATAAAATAAAATGGGACAACCTTTGTAAGCAACGTATGAAAACTAGAATTTATAAAATAAATGATTAATAGGTTAGACTTTATGAAAATTTAAAGTTTTGTTCCAGGACTTTGATCACATGATAAAGCGAGAGCACACAAGGGAGGTATGAGGAAAGGTAAGACACCTAAAAAACTAGATAGCATTTGTTGCCCTCAATGCAGAGAAACTGAAGCAGATACTTTAAAGCAACTGAGGCCAATAGGAGAAGGGGGCCAGGAACTAGAGAGAAGGTTAGTTCAAGAAGAATTAACTTAGAAGGTAACACATGCACAGGAAATCAGTGCGAGTCAACTCCCTGTATAGCTATCCTTATCTCAACTAGCAAAAACCCTTGTTCCTTCCTATTATTGCTTATACTCT